TCCCTCCCGGGCCCTCAGACCTCGCCGTCTCCACGTGTCATTTCCAGGCCACTGTAGGTTTCCAGGCTTGATTTTATCAGGTGTTGCACTTTGTTGTTGTTTTTTTTAATGTATTTTTACTAGAGGCCCAGTGCACCAATTCGTGCACAGGTGGGGTCCCTCGGCCTGGCCAGCGATCTGGGTCGATGGGGGCCCGTCTCGCCCAGTCCCAACTGGGGCCAATGGGGGCGGGAGGTTGGCTGTGGGAGCACACTGACCACCAGGGGGCAGCTCCTGCATTGAGCGTCTGCCCCCTGGTGGTCAGTGTGCGTCATTGCGACCGGTTGTTCGGACATAACAGTCACTTAGGCTTTTATATATATAGATTGCTTTCAGAGAGGAAGGGAGAAGGAGAGAGAGAAACATCAATGATGAGAATCATGGATCAGCTGCCTCCTGCACGCCCACACTGGAGATCGAGCCCGCAACCCAGGCACGTGCCCTGACCAGGAATCGAACCGTGACCTCCTGGTCGGGTTGACACTCAACCACCGAACCTCGCTGGCCAGGAACGTGTTGCACTTTGCATCTCTGCAAATTCCTGGTCGTGTCCTCATCGTCTTAGGTTTCCTGTGTGCTGCGCACTGTAACCTGAAGGTGCAGATTTCGACCTGGACGCCAGGCCACAAAAACCGTCTCCACAGTCTGTTCCAGGGCAAGACTCAGGCACCATGAGGCTGTTTTAATTCCGTCCTTAGGCTGGCAGCCTTAGCTTACATAACGTCACATGTCAGAGCCTACAGTCTCTCAGGGAGGTTGTGATCACACTGGCTATTACTGCTCCTCCAATATTAAATTTAATATATGTATAGAAATCTATCCCTTTGGAATACAAACACTGTTCTGGAAAACGAAAGCAGACTGAATGAAAATTCAGCTCGGTTAGTAATCTGGACAAAATGCCTGTAAACAAAGGGTCGATTGCAGGGCTTCTACTGAGGCGGTAATACCAGGATGGACCAGCGCCCAGCTTTGGTATAAAAGAGGTAGGATTTTAAACATCATGAGATTTGGGGCAAGAGACTCCGTTTATTTCCAAGGCTGTGGAACGGGCAGTGGGGGGCCCACCGGAGGGCAGCAGTGGGGACCCTCGTGCTGACGGACGCCCGGGATCCTGATGGGATCCGTGTCAATGTGCTGGGTCTGTTTTACTCGTTTCTCAGCGTTATCCTCGGGAAAACGGACCACAGGGCATACAAGAGCTCTGAGGTTTCCTCATAACATTGAATTGAGTACAATTATCTCAAAAAAGAACTTAAAGAAGTCATTTGCGTATCTTCTCCAATCTTCTACGAGCAAAATAAAGTGAAAGACTCCACAATTGCTTTTTTAAAATTTTTATTGCTTTAAAAATATTTTTGTTGATTTCAGAGAGGGAGAGGGAAAGATAGAAACGTCAATGATGAGATCATTGGTAGGCTGCCTCCTGCACACACTCCCCCCCCTCACCCCCTGCCAGGATCGACCCGGAACCCGGGCATGTGCCCTGGCTGGGAATCGAACCCTGACCTCCTGGCTCATAGGCTGATGCATGGCCCAATTGCTTTAAATTTTGCGATGACACAACCAGAAGGTGGCACCATTACCACATGACTAAGGGCATCATTCATTTTAAACATCTATGATAATAGAAGGGTAATATGCTAATTAGATTGGACGTCTTCCGGACGTCCTTCCTGATGAAGCCGGGGCCAGAGGGAAGCCAGCCCGGGTCTTGGGTGCCTGCCGAAGAGAAGCCGGTGCCAGCAGCTGGGGGAAGGAAGGCCTACTCTTGCACAAATTTTCGTGCATCGGGCTTCTAGTCCTATCTAATAAAAGACAAAAGGGTAATTGACCGTACCTTCGCTACGCTTCCCATTGGCTAATCAGGGAGATATGCAAATTAACTGCCAAGAAAGACGGCGGTTAATCACCAACAAAGATGGCAGTTAATTTGCATACGTAGGTGCCAAGCAACGGAGCAAAGCCGGCTGGCCCCGGGCAGGAGCAGTGAACAAAGGCCGGCATGGCGAGAGAAGAGCCAAGAGGGAAGCCCGCCGTGCCAGCCTCCGCCACACCCCCAGGGCCCGCGCGCGGCCAGCAGCGAGGAGCTAAGCCCCTCGCCCGCCGTGCTGGCCCCTCCCGGTGAGGAGCCAAGGCCTGGGTTCCGGGCGCTGGAGGAAAACTGGTGCCAGCAGCCAGGGGAAGGGGCCCCCGACTGCGAGAGGGCACAGGCCGGGCTGAGGGACCCACCCGAGTGCACAAATTTTTGTGCACCGGGCCTCTAGTCCTATATAATAAAAGGCTAATATGCAAATCAACAAGAACGACTGGTTGCTATGACGTGCACCGACCACCAGGGGGCAGACACTCAATGCAGGAGCTGCCCCCTGGTGGTCAGTGTGCTCTGTGGGAGCGCCGCTCAGCCAGAAGCCAGGCTCAAGGCTAGCGAATGCAGCAGCAGTGGCGGGAGCCTCTCCCACCTCCGCAGCACTAAGGATGTCCAACTGCTGGCTTAGGCCCGCTCCCCATGGGCCCAAGCCCACTGTCAGACATCCCCCGAGGGCTCCTGGACTGCGAGAGGGCGTAGGCCGGGCTGAGGGACACCCCCCCTCATCCCCGCCCCCCGAGTGCACATTCGTACACTGGGCCTCTAGTGTCATAATAATGGAATACTATGATTTTATCAATGAAAATTCAATGCTAACCCCAACTCAGCCACATTTTCAATCCATGTCCTGTGTGACGCTTGGAAGAAATGCAATTTTCAAAAGTCATTTGAAAACAACACAAATGCTTTTGGGTCTGCGTAGCACAGGCTGTAACTAGAACACAGACCCTCTGGGTGTGCTTTTCACAGGGCCTGTGTGGGCTGGCAAACCTGCCCAAGACCAGGAAGACTCCCGGCCACCCTGGGACCCGGCCGGCAGCACCGCCCTCTGCACAGGCACTTCCTGCCTGGCGGCCGGCCCGGGCTCTGACCAAGGTTCCTGGGAAAATTCCCAACAGCAGCTGCAGTGAGAGAGGCTGAGGGAGGGACTCTTCTTTTGTAAAAGCAGCAAAGTCCAGAACGTTCTCATTCTTTTAAAATCCTACACACTTCCTAGGCAGGGAGCGGAGGCGGCACCAGGTCATGGAGGTGCCCACAGGTGCCCGTGGGAGATGCCGGCCACACAGCAGACCCTGTCCGTCACTGACCGGGTGTCCGTCCCCGCCTGGTGCCGGGCGGGGCCCCGACGAGCCGTCCACAGCCCCTGGGCATCCGTGCCCGCTGCATCAGCCCTCCGTCACGCCAACCTCCCCACCCAGCCTGCACCGCAAGCCCCGGCTGTCCACCCCAGCTCTGAAGCCGACGTGCAACTTTCTTAGGAGAACACGTTTTACTTAACAAAGTAAGTGAGCTTTTCCCCACACAGATGTGTGTTTTCCATGTGCAATGTCTTCTGAGGGTCACCAAGCAGCCTTGCCCTGAAGTCCACACATTCGTCAGTTACCCACACGCATCCGTGCAGCTCTGTTCACTGCTGACAGACACAACCAGACCACGTGAGAAGCGAGTTGGGATTAGTTCTGAGCGGTTTATTCTCGCTGTTACAGTGTCCCACCACGGGATTATAAAGACGCGTGTACAGGTAAATGCTGGGAGGCACACGCGTGTCCCCATTCTGAAAGAAGGCATGTTACATGTACAGAAAAATGCAGCAAACAGAAGGTGTCCAAAGGAATTTCTGACAATTCAGATGTGACATGTTTACAAAGAAAGCATGTTTTAAAATAATTAAATAATTTTCATATTATTATAAAAGTATTGAGATAAATATCAGAAGACCCCAAAATCACAAGAATGTTTTCCTATGCTATTGAGTCAAAGGGTAGTTCCATTAAAAGTCCCAAAATAGACAGTATTTTGTCGCTATGAAAAACATCGAATTACCAAAATATGTGAAATAAACATGCGATGCGTAAGCGGTACCAAGACCTGTCCGAGGCTCCCAGCCCCGCCGTCCACGCCAGCCCCCGGGCCGCTTGGGACCTCGGAGGAGCCGGCACAATGAATAAGAAGTGAGAGCGACTCACCACCTCTCCTCCCATCACTTCCAGACGGAGCTGCGGAGAAGGAAAACCCTAAACGAACATCGAAGACATTAGCTTATGAGTAAGAAGCTGGCGGTGCGTTCCTCACGCGCCGGGCGCCAAGGTGACGCTGAGCAGTAGTGTCAGGGACAGTGACCTCTCTTTCTCAGACAAGAACTCATCTTAGAAAATGAGGGACAGGTATGAATTCAAAACAAAACAGTACTGTGAAATGGTGAAACATCACAAAATAGCAGCATGTGAACTCAAGAGTCTTTTCTGAAAGCGAATGTTTAAGACTGAACTGCAGAACGGCACTTGCTCCAACTGTCTGCTCTCAGCACCTCGGACGAAGGACTTTCTAGAGGTGCTCATATTTACGTTTATATTTATGACTCCCCAAGACAATGTGGACTGTGATCTGTGTTTTGAAACATAAATATTGCACAGGCAGCAACACATCCGCATCCCGTGTCTCTAACATAAAATGACACCTGATTCAACACGACGTGTAAAACCACTGAGGCGGGATGAGCACAGTGAGGGGATGGCACGCAGGCACTTGAATCGAGGCTGAGTGACAGTCAGGCAACCACAGAGCGAGGGAGGTGTCTTTGCATATGAACCTGGGGTCTCTCACGGACCCAACACACAAGTAAGAACTTTGTACAAACTTTCATGGAAAACCAGGTCTCCAGAAACTTCACACCAAATAACTTCCACTGAATACAGCAATGACGACTGCCGCCTCAGTTAACCTTTTTCTAACAAATGTCCAATAGACAGGTTTTAGAATCTACTTTCCCCCCTTCTCCACCCAGTACAGCCCACAGCCCTCGCCAACAGCCCAGGAACACCCTCTGCGAATCACGCTCACCGTGAGACCCAGGGCACCAACCTGTCCTGTCAGACCGCCCGCGTCCTGGGACGGATCACAGCACCAGACATCGGGGCTCAGGTATCTGTCTGGCAATTCCCATTCAATAATATTAACCAGTAACAATGTGTCAATATTCATCGTCTAAGAGGAAGTCATAGTAGCAATTTTTTTAACCAACCAAGATAACTGATAAGCATTTTTAATGTTTTAAATGGATAAACATGTAATGATCCAATTCATTGGACAAAACATCACACACGTTTTCAACACCCAGTGAGACCGCACGACACGGGGGCGCTGAGACGAGACTCCGCCTCTGTCTTTCCTTTAAAAAGGCCACTGCGCTGGCCACGCCCAGGCCCCTGGTTACCAGCTGAGGAGGAGCACATCCGAGGCCGTGGGACAGGCTGTGGAGACCTGTCACCCTGTCATCTTTGGCTGAAGCCTCAGGAGAGGGAGGGGCTGGCATGGCGGCCGCCGAGCATCCAGCTTACACGTCACTGACGGGCAGGCTTGCGTCGTCCAAGTCCAAGTCCACGGGGCCGCGCTGCCCCTCCGGAGGGCCGTTCCTGCCGGGAGGGGTGGGCAGGGCGCGTCCGCTCACTTGGGAAGCTGGTGCTCTTGGAGGGACAGTCTGGACCTTGAGGCTCCCTGGCTTGACCTTGGCAAGAGATTCGCAAAATCCTCGCTTCTCCAGGGTAAAGCTTGAGACCAAAGAGCTGCTGCGAGCGGCGGTGGGATGCGCGGCGGAGGTGCGGGGCGCGGGCTGGGGCTCGGGGCCGCCGGGCTGCTCCTGTCAGACACGGTCAGTCAGACACGGTCAGTCACACATGACACGGTCAGTAGCTCATGTGAGGCTTTATCCTCTGAGAAACGAGACACACACACACACACACACACACACAGAGCAGAAGCGTGAGCCATGCAGCAAGCGTGTGCACGTTCTCCACAGCCAGGCGCGTGCAGGAGCGCGTGTGAAGCAGTGGCGGCCGCCCTCACTAAGGAGCCAGCCTGTCCCGTGCGGTGCTGGGAGCCGACCCCGAAGACGCAGCGAGCCTGGGAGGGGCACGGGTCCAGGCGCCCGCTCAGCTGCGCTCACGGCGGCCGGCTCTGCTGCTTCGTTTCAAGTTTGCGGTCAGTCCGCACCAGGAGGTCGGCCACACGTTCTACGTGTCCAGCGCGCCTGAATGCCACTGCCACACGAGCAGGCTCGTTGCTTTCTCTGTAACTGCATGTTTGGTTTTGAATGTCATGCATTCATCTGGCTTAAGATTGTCAGGGAACATGGGTACAGACTTAGCCGTTGGGACAGCTGTGAAGTGGCTCAGTGGTGACGGCTGATTTCAATTCGCGTCTAACGGTCTCAGACCTGCAGGTGCCTCGCAGAAGGCCATTCCCCATGCCTCGCCCGCAGCTCCTAGTGCTGCACGCACCATGACACCAGTGGCTCCGAGAACACAGGGCGGCCAATTCCCCACGTGACCGATGCCCACGGGAGGCGGAAGGTCACCCGAGACTCAGTGCCATGCAAACTACAGCAGAGTCCGTCCGACACCTGGGCATGCACGACTGCACACGTTAGAACGAGGATGCGTGTCGAGTGGTGTCATATAAAAATGTCAAAACACAGAAAACATGGAAACTGAAACTGGCACTTCAGCCAGTGGGTTTTAGGCAACAGCGTCTACGGCCTCCGGTCAGTCAGCCGTTTCTCGCTGTTATCTTTCCTGCTGCTCCGACCTGAGGGCTGTTAGTGTCGACAGGTTACGGCAACTGCAGGAGGCAGTTTGTTAGCTCGACTTTCTAGGACGGACGGGTGAGTAGGGAGTGAGAAGGCACGTGCGTGCGCGCCCACATACGTGCCGCATCCCCCCGTCCTGGGTGTGTACCTCTGAATACAAGGGTTCGACAGCCGTCTGGCCTGCCGCATCTGGAACACAGTGCAAAGCTGGGGTTAGAGTCGACCTACCCAGAGAGGAGGAGCCGAGTCAGCGGACAGTCCGCGCCCGCCACCAGCACAGACACGCCCTCCCGCTCTCCTCTCCCCACAGGCAGCACGCTCGCAGAACTCAGTGACCCTGGGAGGTCACAGGGATAGGCGGTGACCACGCAACATCGGGAAAGGGACTCTGATCGTCCAGAAAGGACGGGGAGAAGGCGAGATTAAGAAGCAAGAAAGGCCCTAGCTGGTTTGGCTCAGTGGATAGAGCGTCAGCCTGCGGACTCAAGGGTCCCAGGTTCGATTCCGGTCAAGGGCATGTACCTGGGTTGCGGGCACATCCCCAGTAGTGCAAGAGGCAGCTGAATCAATGTTTCTCTCTCATCGATGTTTCTAACTCGCTATCCCTCTCCCTCTCCCTTCCTCTCTATAAAAAAAAATCAATAAAATATATTTAAAAAAAAAAAAAGCAGCAGCAAGAAAGGTGGATTTGTATGGACTGGTCTGTGGTTACTAAAAGCAGGAAACCATTAAAAGGCAACGTTACTGCCTGGCTGGCGTGGCTCAGTGGTTGAGCTACTGACCAGGTCCGATTCCTGGTCAGGGCATATGCCCAGGTTGCAGGCTCGATCCCCAGTGGGGGATTTGCAGGAGGTAGCAGATCCATGATTCTCTCTCATCATTGATATTTTTCTCTCTCCTTCTCCCTTCCTCCCTGAAATCAATAAAAATATATATATATATATTTTAAAATGGCAACGTTACCACCAGGGAAATGCTGAAAGTGCCAAAAACCTAGCATCACGCTGGGTCTAGGTAACAGGCGATCATGTTACTTATCGGCCTACGTTCTGCAGACCTGAGTGACACCTCGCCATGTCTGCACTCCTCAGCACAACTTGTATTTTCACATCGGAGACCAGCGACCAAGGTGCTCTAAAGGTAAATCTTATTCCTGAGCTGTACCTGAACGTGGTGAATTAAATTTAACAACATTTTTACTTACTATTTCTCAGCATGTTTAGCTGCTTTCATTTTCCCGTGGTACTACCAAAAGGTAATTCAGATTGTAAACAAAAGCAGCCTTTCACATTCGCGGGCAGAACCCACGAAGGCCGTGAGCTGAAACCCTGCCTGCAAGCCATCAGCGCATGAGGCTCCCGCCGCACTATGGTCTCGGCACAGGTGAGCTCACAGACCCTAACCGACCTCTCAGGAAGCTGAACGCAGTGGCTGAAGGGCCTTCCATGGCCAGGCCCCACCTGCACTAAGAACCGGCCGGTTGTACCAAACCCAGACCGACCAGTGAGGACCTCACACAGGCAGGGAGCGCTCCTTTTCGTCCCTGCGCGCCTGTGAGACGGGACAGCGCAGGGCGCTCCGTGTCCGCACACTACGGGAAGCACGACATTAGAGATGCACGACTTCCCTGCAGGTCCAGGTGGTGTGAAGTCACCATGCAGGTACATCTCATACAGAAAGAACCAGAGGGTCGGGGGAGAGGAAGCCTGACAGGCTGGGGAACGAGGGGGCAGCACGGCGCACAGGACACGTACAGACGACGCCGACCGGCCAGGCCCGCGCTGCGCCACGATGGCCCCGGACACGGCCTTGATCCAGCTGTGCATCTCTTCGGGGCTGTCGGCCTGCGGGAGAAAGGGCGCATTCAGTCCACTTCCCACACCGGCTCCTGCATCTGAGACCCGACCGATGCGCTCGGGAGTAAACAGCTTCAACAACAAATCGTTCTAAGGCAATGACTTCAAAACACCTTAGAAATCACTTTGACACCAGGTACTGCTGGGTGGGCGATTGTTCTGGAATAACTCAGAGCAGTGCCGCAGTCCGAAGAGAAGCGCTGGCCGTCACAGCCCAGAGCACCTTCCTTGATGGACCGTGGCTCCCAGCGTGGATGACAGACCTCCTGTGACTCACCCAACTACACTGGCCCCAGGAGGGGCCTGAGATACTGTCCTTCACTTCTAGAGTCTGCAATTTACAAGGTCAACAATTTTAAAGAATCAAGATAGTATTTTTGAACCAAGGCTATTAAATACTTTTTAAAAGAAAAACTTCAGCCGAAACCGGTTTGGCTCAGTGGATGGAGTGCCGGCCTGCGGACTGAAGGGTCCCGGGTTCGATTCCGGTCAAGGGCATGTACCTGGGTTGCGGACACATCCCCAGTAGGAGATGTGCAGGAGGCAGCTGATCGATGTTTCTCTCTCATCGATGTTTCTAACTCTCTATCTATCTCTCTCCCTTCCTCTCTGTAAAAAATCAATAAAATATATTAAAAAAAAAAAAAAGAAAAAGAAAAACTTCAAAATAGGCAAAAGTAAATCATACACCTTCATTCACTGCAAATAGGAGGACATGTCGAGAAATCAATTTGGCAAAATAAAGAGGTTTCAAGAGGTTCGTGCACTGAAGAGTTACTCTAGAGCTAGAAACTCATCCTGAAGAAATGTATTTGTTTAATCCTCCCCTGAGGACATGTGTATTGATTTTTAGAGAAACATCCATGTGATAAGCCTCCATCGGTTGCCTCCCGTACCCGCCCCGAGCAGGGATCGAACCCACAACCCTTTTGGGGTATGGACGATGCTCTAACTGAGCCATCCGGCCAGGACGCACAATACTCCTCTTGTTATACAAATATGTGCCTTAAGAAAGGCAGTGAAAAAAAAAGAACGCTTGCCTGATTGTGGGATTCTGTGTTTTATAAACCACCCTTTTCTTCCTATTTTTCTATAATTTCTAAGTTTTCTGCAATAAGCCTATGTAAGTTTTATAAAACAAAACAAATTTTTTAAAAAAAACTCCAATCTGATTAATACAATGAGTAAAAAGTATGTTTTAAACTTAAATGCAGATGCTATCAGTGAAACCTAAGCTCTACTGCCTACTTTTATCATGTACCAATTTTATAAAATTACCAAAAATGATGGAACCAGAATTCCAAAATATGTGCAAAATAATCCAAGTTCAAAGTACACACTTAGCTTCTAAGTAAAGTAGATTTCCCTTCCTCCAATTACTACTTAATTCTATTCAACTAACTCCCAGCAAGGAGCACCCTCGTTTGCTGAACGTATGAGCTACCAGTCATACCAGTCATTTCACACGTAACCCATGGTGAGCTGTGGTTGTCAGGTTGATGGGGGACAAAAGGGGACGTATGTCACACTTTCAACAATGATTAAAAAAAATAACTGCAGTTGTCATTATGTTTTGCTTATTCTCATAACCTGCAAGTTCACGTCCCTCTAAAATTATTAATTCCCACAAAGAGGATCTATGACCTTCAAATAAGTATCTTACCTGCACATAGAAAGTTCGAGATGACGTTACAATTTCAAACAGGTTGTCCCTCATCATTATGTCACTGTTAACACAAAAAATTTCCAAGTTTTAAACAGCAGTTGTTTGATAGGTTTTTTTCATTTATTTACCCAATACCAAATATCTATCTATAATAATAAAAGAGTAATATGCTAATTAGACCAGACAGCTGAATGACCTTCTGGACATCATTCGGGACGAAGCTGTGACGGCAGGGGCTGAGGCAGAGGCAGTTAGGGGCGATCAGGCAGGCAGGCAGAAGGACTAGGGGAGATCAGGCAGGCAGGCAAGTGGTTTGGGGCGATCAAGCAGGCAGATGAGCGGTTAGGGGCGATATGGCAGGCAGGCAGGCGAGCTATTAGGAGCCAGCGGTCCCAGATTGCAAGATGGATGTCCGACTGCCAGTTTAGGTCCAATCCCACAGAGAGCAGTCGGACATCCCCCGAGGAGTCCCGGATTGCGAGAAGGTGCAGGCCAAATTTCATGCACCGGGCCTCTAGTGTATCAATAAGAAAAGTATGAGGTAAAATACTGATTTAACAAAACCAAGCTATCAATTTTTTCAACTTCTTGAAAAAATAAAGTTTATATAGTTATATGTATATTTTATTTTGTATTTATTTTTATTGATTTCAGAGAGGAAGAGAAAGGGAGAGAAAAATAGAAACATCAATGATGAGAGAGAAGCATTGACTGGCTGCCTCCTGCACACCCCCCACTGGGGATGGAGCCCACACCCTGATCAGAATCAAACCCGGAACCCTTCAGTTCACAGGCTGACACTCCATCCACTAAGTCAACCAGCCAGGGAATTATCTGTGTATTTTCGATAAGGTACATAGCACTACTTTAAAATTCAAAGTTTGTAACATGAAGCAATCAGTTTGCACTGCACAATTACATTGCCTCACACAGCTGTTCGGCACCAACCTTGAAATACTAACATGCTAATCACCAATTTGCCAAATATGATAGAAGTTGTTCACATTAAAGTTTTTCCTTTTCATTAATAAGCTTAAGGACTGTTTCCTAATTTTCAGTTTTCAAACAAAAAAACCCTCAATACTTTAATCCGAGGGTTTTGAAAGGTCTAGCATATCCCAAGTATAAGAAGCTGAAAATGACACAAATACAGAAAAACGCCATCTTGCAAGCACAGCCCTCAGCCTGCAGCCCTGCTGTGCGCAGAGACAGCCGGCACCGTGCGCTCACCTCTGCTTGCACTCCTGGACTTTGTGCACCTCCTTCAGGGGGATCACGCGCAGGGGCTCCTTCTCCTGGCGGGAAAGAGCAGACAGACAGACACATGACGTCTCCTCCTAAAAGCCTCCTCAGGCTGTCCGACCTGGAGGCCTGCGTCCAACAATGCTTCTTGGATCACGCAGCATCAGAAGAGCCCCAATCCCCCCCCCCCTCGGTACCAGGTAGTGAGCGTTTGAGGACGAACTCTCATATGAACGCATTATTTTAACAAGCACAACGCCAGGGCATGCGCTAGATGTTGAAGGTCAGCTCCCTGGAATTTCCCACCACCCTACGCACAGGCGCTAGTACTCTCACCCAAGGGACCTGAGGGTTAGATATGTACGTGCCCGACCCAAGGTGACAACACCAGACAGAAGCCACAGACACAGGCCGTCACTGGCCCTAACAGTGTCACCCCACACTCTACGCTCCATCAAGACGAGGACTGAGGTCGCTGACAGGACAGCATGACCTGACGTGCTGCTGTTTTACGAGCACCGAGGAAAGACGCAAACGACAGCCGGACAGTTTTAAAATCACCAATCTTTACGGTTTTACAAAACAGTTCATTTTAAAATAACTTCAGATCATAACCGCTTCTGTATACCCTGCACCCTGTAGAGACGTGGTCCCCCTCAAAGGTCCCAGCAAACAGAAGAGGGGGGCCAGGGGCGTGAGCACAGAACTGCACTCAGTGTCCCCCTCAGGCTATTGCAGAACGTGGGTCACGTGGCAAGAATCCTACATAATAAAGAGCTCATATGCTAATTAGACCGAACAGCAGAAGGACCATCTGGATGAAGCCAGGGCTGCGAGGGCCGGGCCACTCGCACGAACTTTGTGCATGGGGCCTCTAGTGCAGCAGTTCTCAACCTGTGGGTCGCGAACAATGAAAATACATCCTGCATATCAGATATTTACATGACGGTTCATAACAGTAGCAACATTACAGTTATGAAGTAGCAACGAAAATAATTTTATGGTTGGGGGTCACCACAGCATGAGGAACTGTATTAAAGGGTCGCGGCATTAGGAAGGTTGAGAACCACTGCTCTAGTGTTTTAAATAAGGATGCCACTCAAACTGAGGAAAGAGGGAATTCTAATCTTTGATTCCACCTCCAGACAGAACAAAACCATCTCGTAAGAAGAAACTAAGTGATCTGCTCCCAAAAGCAAACATGGAGAGAGGGCAGGGCAGACAGCAGGACCAGAGGCTGACGCTGACGCTGATGCTGAGATGCAATCCCTTCCGCCGCCTCCCGCCTCCCGCCTCGGCCCTTCGGGAAACCTCAGACTGAGGGGTCTGGTGTCTCCAACTCCTTGGAGGTGAAATGTCTCTGAAGACGCAACCTTTTCATTGAGATCCACCCAACAGACCATCACCCAGAAGCACGGCCACCAGAGGCTCAGTGTCTCACCAGGAGGGACAGGACTGGGAAGCGCAGACACTGCATGTAGGAACCACCACAGGGCACGACCCTCCAACATTGAAAAGCACGTTCAGGACAAAGCGACATACCAGTTCGGACTTGAAGTAGCCTATCGTGTTCTCGTCCAATTGGAAATACCTTCTCTTCCAGTTCTTCATCTGGAGAGGAGCACAGACATGAGACTCTGCCTCTGGGACGCGATGCTCATCACCCCCACCTGCCCTGAGGCGAACCCCACGGCCCCCCCTGGGGAGAGACGCAACTTCTTTTCTGTCGCCCTCAGGCCTTGAACTCCTAACTCCAGCCGGTGCTGGCCTTCAGCTTTTATCACATGATTGTCTAATGCAGCTTCATAATCTCAATGCTCTAAAAGTTTAAAAAAAAAGGCACTTCCCCATCCTCCCCCCCCCCCCGCCCCCACAAAACAAATGCTCCAGGAGGTCAAGAGCAAGAACAGGAAACAGTATGAAACCACACCAAGCGTCTCCGTCCGCGGGCACTTACACTCACGAGCAAGACAGTCAATACCAATAAAGGGAACCTTCTTTGTACGTGTTTTTGCCAATGACGTAGTTTTTGGGAACGCACTTCAGCATTTCTATGAGTTGGCATTTTGGACTTCAGAGTAAAACAAAAAAAGGAGCATCTGCTGACAGCCCTCCACACCAGCGAGCACAGCCTGAGGGCTCTGACCTCACTGCAGACAGCGCAGGAGACCTGCCAGCCCGCATCTCGGCTCCCTGAACCGAGCTGTGGGGACAGGACACCCCGCCGAGCTGCGCTGTAGTGAGGAGCCTGCGGGTGTGTCAGTGTTTCTTCACTCAGAGAATTCGTCTTTCATTTGAAAACGTTTTTTTCTTATGAAATTCTAAAGATTTAGTTCTCACGGACAGAATGGCTCCCCTATAGCAAGGTGCTGCGAAGGCTAGAAATACTGGGGTGCATGGCTCTCTCCACGAGGCTCTGCTGGGAGAGCCAGGCTGGGCTGACCCACACCTTCCACACCTCGGAGGTGGGTTTAGGATGCGATTTTCCTTCCCAAGAAACCAAGAGGCTGAGAGGTTAAGGAGCCAAGGGCACAGAGTGTCTGGCTGAGGCCAGCCCAGCATCAAGCGGGCGCTGAGGGACTCCCACACCCACACCCCACCTGACCCTCTCCCCAAGGGTCAACAGAAACTTCCCGGAATAAATGCAACTGCTGGAAAGGTCACCTGAAATCGACGGACTAAGCATCATTGCCCAGCTGCTCACGGAGCACGACTGTAAGAGCCCTGAGCGAAGAGGCCCTAGAACACCCCCCTCACCCCCCCACTCCTCAGCTGCGCTCTCGCTTCGGGTCCTGGTGCAAAACAAAGCCTTGTAGCCGAGGCCGCTCACACCCACATCCCACTGTGCGCGCATTTGCCCGACGACTCACCACGGCTCCCTGTTTGACACAATACCCGGCTTTGATGACGGCGCTGTCGGAGGGCGGCTTCGGCGGGAAGCAGGGGAGATGGCTTGGTGACCTTTTCAAGTGGTTTCTGTCAGCGCTCTCACCGCAGTCGTTGGCTTCTTCTTTCTAAAGTGAAGCAGAAAAGAAAGTCCTTTCTTGGCGCTCGGCTTCCCAGCACAGGAAGCAGGCGCGGACACGCCAGTAGCCACGGCCGTGGGCGCTGGGAGCACCAGGGACCACCGTCAGCACAGGCCTACCCCTCGTGCGCTGTGCCCGAAGCTCACACAGAACAGACGGGGGTGAACTGTGATGGGAAACACGTTAAAATCTACAAAAGGGGGAAAGCAGACTTGCAGGCCGTGTTGTCGTCCTAGCAGAATCGCCAGCTCCATCTCAGCTGCACGAGGACACAGATTTGGAGTGAAGTGTTCGAGTTGATTTACGGTCCTGGACCGTAACTGTCCGTCACTGACCGGCCACGCCTGTCTGCTGCTCTCGGTCTGCAGCGGGCCTGCCGCCAGTGCTTCCGTGAGGAAGGGGCAGTGGGGGTTAACGTTTTACTTTGAAATAAGTGTAGAGTCACAGGAAGTTACCAGGGGCACCGGTTAATAATGCGGATTTTTTCCACTAGATGGAGTTACACATATGTTGATATATATGCGATTTGATATGTACGCTATTTTGTTGTATTGACAGCAAGCTTCAAAACCTCGTATGTCAAATTTTCTGAAGGTGTTAACATCGTATTTTTACGTTTAAAAATGTCGAATTTCATGCCAAAAAAAGAGCATTTGCGGAAAGTTTTAATTCATTACTTCACTTTGCAGAAAAGTGCTGAAAATGATCATATACTTCGGGAAGCTTATGGTGAACATGCTCCATCTCAAGATCCTTGTGAACGCTGGTTTAAACGCTTTAAAAGTGATGATTTCCATGTGAAAGACAAAGAACGTCCAGGTCAATTTGAACTACGCTTTGATCGTAAAACGACCAGAATGGGCCAGAAGACAAGGCAAAGTAATTTTGCTTCATGATGACGCACCATCAGACACTTCAAAAGCAGTTAAAGACACGTTAAATGAAAAGATCTTGCCTGGGAAGTATTAACCCACCCCACGTATTCACCAGAACTTGCTCCTTCAGATGACCACTTGTTCCGATTGATGGCACACGCACTTTCTGAGCGGCACTTCAAAACCTTTGAAGGAGTGGAAAATTGGGTCTCTAAATTGATCCCTCCAAAGAAGGAAAAATTTATAAGAGAAGGTATCGAAAACTTCCGGTAGAAAACGCAAAGGGGAAGCAATAAGGATCAATTTACGAAGAAGCAATCACAGAGTCTTATACAACACCATCTACTAGGAATCGTAAACTCGGGATTGAAGCCTCCCTTTTTTAGAACTTAAGGA